CATCAGGAACTGAATTGAAAGTGGGGCAGTCCTGTTGTTGGGTAAAGGGAAGATGTGTTTGAAGATGCATTTGGGGAAAAAAATAAGTAGCTTCAGCCCTGCTTGCCACAATGGCTTTTCAGTGTTGGATACATTAAAAGATGCTGTAAATTCATGCTGTGGGAATTCCAGTAGCAGATGAAATGAGTAGGGAAGAAAGCCACAATAAAATCTTGCAAACTTGCAAACAGCAAGTTTGAGAGTTTTGTACTTGGAGAAGAGCTTGAGTTTCCCCCAGGGAATGTTAAATCATCTTGCCAAAAACCCATGGGTTAAGGCATGTGCAGCAGAACATCCTGTCTGCTGGTGTCCTGCACTCCTCTGATGGAGGCTGCCTGGGCAATGGAGCTGCCCTGCAGGTGCAGAGTCACAGTGGCTCATTCACAAAGCTGACCCAAAGGAGCTGCACCAGAGCCCTGAAACACAGAAACAAGCACAGCATCATTAAGAAATGACAGAAGTGGTTCATGTGTAACATCACCATTTACTGAGCATACAAGATATGACCTTGAGCCCACATTTTATATTCCGTGTTTACCCAAACACGCCTGAACCTGTTCTAAGGATGTTTCTGATCAAGCCAAGAAAAGTTTAGTCTGTTTATATATCACCTCTCTGTCACACCCATATTGTCTTATCTTTCATGTTCAGACATCTATTTTTGGAATGCCACAAGCCTTCCTTATACTGCATTCTCTTCAAATGTCCATTTGCACTGTGGATTAATAATCCCATCTGTGAAGGTTTTTTGCTGACTGTTGATTTTGCAAGCAGTTGTTGTTTTACTCTTTTTAATACCATGTGTGTCGCAGACATCTTTTGTGAAAATCCTTTTCTTTAGGATTTTTTCCCTTCTGAGAAGCTGAGGCCTCAGAAACAAAATGTAAACAATGGTTATCTGCTGCTGTGGAATGCATCAGGCTTGTCTGTGATTGGGCCATCTTGAATGTTTACAATTAATGGCCAAGCACAGACCAGATAGCTTGGACTCTCTGTCTGAGCCACAGATCTTTGTTATTCATTCTTTTCTATTCTTAGCTAGTCTTCTGAAAAAACCTTTCCTTCTATTCTTTTTAGTATAGTTATAATGTAATATATATGTCATAATATAATAAATCGGGCCTTCTGAACATAGAGTCAACATTCTCCTCTCTCCCCTCATCCAAGAACCCTTGTGACCACTGTCACACGTGTAATTTAGCATGGTTTGGGACTTCCACGTACAGTTTATTCCTGGATTGGCAGGTAGAGGTGACAATGCTTTAGTCTTTACTGTGCAAAAGTATTTCACAGTGTTCTTTTATAGGGATAAACCTCATGTGAGAAGTACAGTAGGGAATGCCACAGTTGCTGATGTCTCCTCCTGGGAGGCCTCCTAAAATCTGCCATGAGGGTGAGGGGTGAGGATGACCATGAAAAGTGATTCCAAAGTGATTCCAAGGGTACTGCTAACTGAGCAGCATAGAACTTGCCAGCTGGTCTGCACTGCCCTGCACCCCAAGGGCAACTAGACCACCTCTTCACAGTCCCCAAAGTGAAGAAAATCCCCTCTCTGGTGGCCAGGAGAGACAGAGCCAGACAGGAATGTCCACTGATTAAAATCAGAGTAACAGCAGCTTTGGGAGGCAATGTAATATTTTCTTTGCTCAAAATAAACAGAGGGGAAGCTCAGAGAAATCTGCCTCAGGGACCTCCTGGCTGTAAGGAACTTCTCAGTTACATATGCCAAGAAAATAAGAGAATACCTTCTTTCCTCTCAAAGAAATGGGGGTTTTCAAAACCGAAATGTCATTAAGTGTATTTCCTAGGAAATATAACTAAAGACATCCAAAATAATCCCTCTCCTATTAACAGTGCCTGTGTAACATCATTATCATGCTGAGATTCTGAAAGGGATATCTCAGACCTGACCAAGGCACTTCAATAATACTTCCAAAATAATTTCTCCTACAAACTCCTTTGGGCAGAAGATGACATTTTCCAGTTGAGTTGCCACTATAAAACACATGTTCTAGAGTAGGAAGAATGCCAGATGCTCTTGGAATTGAATTGGGAAATCCCACTTTGGTGAACAGAGCAAGGAAACCTGAAACTGGCTGCAAAGCAGTAAAAGAAGTGCCCCAAAACACATGGATTCTAGGCCATCCCCATTGCACCTGCCCACCTGAGCCAAGCAGAGGAGCACAAGTGGCTGACACGTCAGCACAGCCTGCAGTGCTTATTTCTAAGTGGGACAAAGCCCAGCAGTTGATAGCACAGCGTGTTCAGGGCTTCATGTGCAGATTGTGCAGTTTTTCAACAATCAGCTGCACAGAGCTGATCCTGTCCTTCATTTTTCACCAACAATGCTGTACTCTCCCTCCTCAAGCACCAGAGTAACTGGCCTGTAGAGTTTGGGTGCTCATAAGCCCATGGAAATGGAAATAGCTTCACTCTTTTTGTTCCAGCCACAAGCTTGTAGTCGTCCCAGTTGCCTGCCTGTGTGGACTGACACACCAGGGCTTCTGCAAGAACACTGGGCAGAAAAACAAGGCCAAGTGGAGTGTGATGCCCACTCCCCACTAATAAACAAGAAGGAAGAACTGGTGGCAAATGTTTTGTGGAGATAAACAAAACTCCACAACTTTTGTGAAAGTTGTAAAGCCGGTGTGTTTATTACAGCACTGGACGCATGTGGGAATTGTTCCCTTAAAATGACATGTGTACCTCTGGGAACTTCAGGTCTCTTTTTATCTCTCTCTCAAATACATATGCATACAATTTCACAATAGATTGATACATATTCATTTTTACGAATTTTGCGTGACATTTACCGCTAGTTCTTTTTTATCAGAAAGAATTCCTAGGTCAGGTTGACCTGCTCTCACAGCAGTCTCTCTGTCTCTCTCTATCACCTTCTGTCTCCCTCTCCCTTATCTCTGCCCTTCACTGAAGCAGTTTCTCTGAGCCTAGGCTTTTGCAGTCAGACAACACAGCAAGCTACATACTTAAAGATGTACATTCCACCTAAACCAAAATGGATTTCTACCCTGGAAAATTTCCACTCTGCCTCACAATGGATGTAGAGAAGACTGAGGTACTCAGTGTGTTCCTCGCCTCAGTCTTCACTGGAAGTCAGGTTTCCAACATCTCTGGAGTTGCTGAAGCTGCAGGTAGTGACTGGGGGAGAGAAGTCCCTCTCACTGTAGGTGAAGAGCAGGTTTGAGACCACCTGATGAAGCTGAATAGACACAAGTGTATGGGACTGGATGACATGCATCCCAGGGTCCTGAGGGAACTGGCTGGTGTTGTTGCCAAGCCACCCTCCATCATTTGAAGAGTCATGGCCTTCAGGTGAAATTCTTCATGAATGGAAGAAGGGAAATATCACCCTCCCCTTTTAAAAAGGGGAGAAAGGAAGATCTGGGGAACTACAGACCAGTGAGCCTTGCCTCTATGCCTGTGAAGATCATGGAGCAGATCCCCATGGAAGCAATTCTAAGGCACATGCAAGACAAGAAGGTGATCCAAGACAGCCAACATGGTTTTACTAAGGGCAGATTATGCCTGACCAATCTGGTGGCCATCTGGGGTGGAGGGATTGCAGCCATCAACAAGGGGAAACCCAACCAATATCACTCACATACCTCGACTTCCTTAAGAACTTTGACATGGTCCCACATGGCATCCTTGTCTCCAAACTGAGATACACAGGTTTGAAGAGTGCACTATTTGGGATATTTGGGAAATATCCACACAGCCAGAGAGTTGTGGTCAGTGGCTCTATGTCCAGAAGCAGACCTGGTGTCCATCAGGGCTCTGTTCTGGGACCAGTGCTTTTTAAGATCTTTGTCAATGACACCCTCAGCAAGTTTGCAGATGACACAAAGCTGAGGGGTGCAGCTGACACAACAAAAGGATGGGATCCCATCCAGAGGAACATGGACAAATTTGAGAAGTGATTCCATACTCACCTCATGAAGTTCAACAAGCCCAAGTGCAAGGTGCTGCACCTGGGTTGGGGCAATCCCAGACATGGGAGCACAAACATGGGAGATGGTCATGGGCTGGGAGCACCTCTCCTATGAAGACAGGTTGGGAAATCTGGGGTTGTTCATCCTAGAGAAAGGAAAGCTCCAGGGAGACCTCATTGCAGCCTTCCAGCTCTTGGAGGGTGCTTTATAAAAAAAGAGCAGGAGCAGTTTTTTAAGTGGGCAAGTAGTAATAAGATGAGAATGGAATGGTTTTGAATTAAAATAGCAGAGACTTAGGAATTAGATCTTATGAAAAAGTTCTTTACTATGAAGATGATGAGGCTCTGAAACAGGCTGTTTAGAGAGGTTGTGGATTTCCTGTTCCTGGAAGTATTCAAGGTCAGGCTGGATGGGACTTTGAGCAACCTGGTGTAGTAGAAGGTGTCATTGCCCATGGCAGGAGGGTTGGAATGATCTTTAAGGCACCTCCCAACCTCAGACTTCGTAGGATTCTAGGATTTTATGATCAATGCCTAAAGATACATGGGGTAGTTAAAGACTGGGTACAGGTGAAAGTTGGCTTAGCAATAATTTAATCACAGCAATAATTAAAATGGTTACCAAGCTCTTTAGTCTGGTTGCAATGTTTCTGGACAGTGAAACTGTAAGGAGATAAAATTCTGCAGGACAGATCCATGAAAAATATTTGCAAGTGACTACACAAAACATTCTCTGGATACACAGAGACATCTCTCCATGAAAGTGAAATATTTATGTACACTAAAAACTGCATAAAATAAATCCACTGCTGATTGCAAAAGATCCTTTATTGGCACCAACACAAAATGGATTACAGACATTGGCAGAGGCCGTTTGTGGGGCAGGAGAGCTCTCCCTTTCGGTGGTCCTGTGACACTGGGGAAAAAGTGACACAAGCAGAGGCAGATATCTGGGTGTCAAATTTCTTGCCGGGGCTGCATCTTTTCTCAGCGCTGCGGGATTTGCATTCTAGCAGCCACAGCCAGGGCGCAGGGGGCGCAGGAAGGAAAGCTTGTCGTTGAACTTGATTGCCTTGTAATTTGGAAGGTGCTCGTGCTCTCGTGCAATGTATTGAAATCCACTTCCATCACCATGCTCACACAGCAGCCAGACACCTTTCTGAACTTTGTGTGAAGATGTGGTGTTATCGTCATGTCCCCTGGTCAGATTGGTTGCTTCTCTTATTATTCTGCTCTTCCCTTGATAATCAGCGTGCTCATAGAGAGTGATCTGGGGATTGTGCAGATTTTCAGTGATCACCTGCAGAGAGCTGATCCTGTCATTCATCTTTTTGCCAACAAAGTCATGATCTCCCTCCTCAAGTACCAGTAACTGTCCCTTATAGTCTGCATGCTGATAAGCCACCCAAGGATGGCCGATTACTCTCACTGAGGAGATACAATCATTCCAATCTGCATCTTTTAGGTTGGCAATGTTGGTGTGGAATTCTTTGGACATACCCTGGAAGTTGGCATGCTCATAAACAATGATTTTCCCCATCTCTGCAAGGCTTCTGGGGTTTGGATTTTCTGCTGTTGGAGGGCAGCCTACAGAAAATGAAAACAGAAAACAAGCAACGCTTGTAAGAGGCCTTTACACACCAGACATGAAATGCTGGAAACCAGAGGGGACAAAAGGTAAAAAGGAAATGTAAAACAATTTTAGCAGAAGATAACAATAGCAGCAGCTGGGAAAGAGTGAGGGCACAACACAGAATTTGGAAGAATTTCAATTTGGAAGAAAAAAGTAAAATGAGATTTGTATACACCACAATAGTCCAGTTTCATTTAATACGTATACATGCAAGGCACGCCTGAGCATTTTGTTTAACATCTTATTGATGTACCCTAAATAATAACAAACTAAAATATACAACTCATGATAAATCTTTCTGTTGATAATTGATGCTGCAGTTGAGAAATATTTTAGAAGCTGGCACTCTGTTTAGAGTAGGTTTCCTGGGCCACATAGAAAGCAATATAAAAGTAGTGAGACATGCAACTAATTTCTAAAAGGAAGTTAATTTTTTACACAAAATTGGGGGGGAAACCTATCTTTTAAGGGCAGAAATGAACTTTAAATTCACTGAAACACCTTATTTCTCTTTTTATATGGAATTTTACTGAAATCAAGAGATTCCTTCTCTTGACATACACTGAGAAGCAATCAAGTTCTAAGCATCAGCTCTTCAAATCAGACTAAATTTCAGGTTTTAAATGTCTTTTCCTAACACTGCTACCAATACACATATCTAATTCCCCACAGTTAAAAAGCCACAGTGTTTGCTAGCAACAGCTGCAGGAATAGTAATGAGCAGTCAGTTATGATAACAGCTCCCTCTCTCTAAATCATGTAACAGTTACTGAAGCAAAGATTTACATTTCAGGGGAAATAAATGGGACTAAAAAAGCCATTCCTCTAGCTGATTCTGAGAAGGGATGGGAAAAGACTGATATCCCCAGTAAGATTGAAAGCCTCAGTAATACGGTAACATGCAGTAGCATGTAAGACATGTGCATCATAATTTAAAAACATGAATCACTTAAACCTCACTTTTTTAGAAAAAAAAACTTCATGTGATTAAAACCATGTATTTCTTCACAGTTATAAAAGCATATATGGAGGCTGAGAGGACCTGAGCTTGGACTCACTGACTGATTAGTGCCTAGTGATTAGGCACTACTATAATTACTTTCTACCTGTAGAAAAAGAATGAATAATGACCCATTTAATTTTGCTGATACAACATAAAGATCCCATGACCAAGATAAATTTGTAGAATATTTCCACTTTCACCTCTGAGAATTGTGTATCAGTGGCCCCCTCCAGCCTGTCCCTGGGTGAGGTTTGTCTCTCCTGCAGCAGCCATCCATCTCCTCATGCCCTGAGAGATGGCTTCAGTCTCTGCACACGCACGCAGCAGAGCCTCACGGCTGTGCTGCAGCTCTCAGCCCAGCACTAAAGCCTCCTGCCCTTGCCCTGCACTTTACAGCAGCTGCCCAAGAAGCCCTTCCAGCTCTCCTGTGCCAAGGGTGCCTCTTACCTTGCTGTCAGCTGCAGGGCTGCGAGAGCTGAGGGCAATTCCTCCAGTGCAGGGCTGTGGTTTGGGAAGGGCATCTCACCTGTCTGCCTTTATAGCTGGCTCAGAAGTCTTGTGAAACACGTCAGCCAACAGAACTGAGAAATGGTCAATAAGTGAACAAAAATCATTAACTATTTTATTTCAATTTTGATCTTTCTACAACCAGTCATGTTATTGCTTGGGGTCAAAAGTCTCTTGAAGCATAAACCCTTGATAAAACCTTAGAACTTTGGTTCTTGTTTGTCCTTCTCCTCAAGAAGCACTTTAATCACAGTAATAAAAATGTATCAAAGTACCTTGTGACGCACAGACTGTAGAATTTTTCTGCCTCTTGCAAATTTTTCTTTACCTGTGAAGCAAATATAATAATCAATGTTGATTTTCGAAAGGATTTTGGTGGGACATGTCCACTTGACAGAGGGGGTATTTAGGTAGTGTTTCATTAAATTCTCTTCCTCTTTCTCACCTATGTAGCCACTTCAGCAGCTGCAGGGAGGCAGAGCCGCTAAAGCAGGGCCAGGAGGCTCTGGCAGAGCTGCAGTGGCAATATTTTTCTTTCTTTTCTTCTCTTTTCAGGTTCACTCTGTAATATATTTTCAGACAGGTTCATTGGCTAGCATGTCAGAAAGCTGTTCTGCTGCTGGAGAAAGCAATAGGATCTTCATTAGTTCACCTGAGGTACCCCTGCTCTGTCAGGTAGGAAGTAACTGGAGAAGATGGGGAGCTGGGAAGGGAGATAGCTCATCCCTGCAAAACAAGCAGCCTGCACACCAGATCCAGCCAAATCCTCATGCTGTATCTCTTTCACTGGTCCTTGGCTGAGCCCATCATGTGCCAGATCACTAAAGTAAGACAGCATAAAAACCCTTGAGGCTTTGTGGGTTTTTCCATGTGGTCCATTGTTTTGCTGCTCTGCAGAGGTTGGAAGCAGAGCAATTGGAATTCGTAAATTTAAATTTGGGGGTTTTGAAGAGAAACAGGCCCTCACTTTATAGCGACAGCTAGATGAGAAGTCCCTTTTCTGAACAGGCAAATCACACCTTTAGGACATGTTTTTGTGTGTTGCAGTAACCTCAGCCTACAGTTCAGTGCTGCTGGAAAGGGGAATACCCCATTCCACTCCTGAACCATTGTGTCCACTGTCTGATAAAGAGAATGGAGGAAGAATGAGCACACCAATGTAAGGAATGCTTGAAAGAGGGACTAAAACAGCCTAGAATAGGATGATTTACACTGCCATTGAACAACATTCATTCTTCTTAGCTTGCTAATATGTTTTACCCATTAAATTATTATTTGTGTTTCTGAAAAAAACCCAAATAATGTGTAATGACATAATTAATAATGAATTAAACATTCCCATCTTTCCTAGAACCTGCAGACTCAGAAAGCACCTTTGACCAAATGTATGAGCCACGAAGGCATCACAAAGCCCAAGTCTGTGTGTATCTCAGCTGTGGTACAGAGTAGTTTACATTTCTCAATTTTACATTTCAGCCAACAGTGGAAACTCCTCAGCCATGCACATACTCCCTGCAGAGCACCAAAGCTGGCAGTGGGGCTTTTTGTGGCTTTGAGGAAAATCAAAAGGCAATGTATGATGGAATGCTCCATGATGGAATCCTTTGCCATGTTTTTTGTGCTACTGCAAAAGCGTGGTAAAGGATCTCTGTACTCCCAGGTTCACAGAAAGCAATGAGTTCCTGGTTGTCATTGACCATCTGCCCTAGTGTTATTGGATTGAAAACTAAATGGCATCTAATGTCGTTAATCTCACCTATATGGTGCTTTATGCACAAGGAAGTCAGTCACTGAACAATGCAGAGCACCACAGGGTGGGGCTGAGGGGTTGATATTGGAAAAATTTATGGAGTTTTCTTTGTGGGTTGGGTTTGTTTGCTTTTATTCCTTATGGATCGCAGAATGGTTTGGGTTGAAAGAGACCTTTAAGATCATTCCAAGCCCCCTGGCATGGGCAGGGACACCTTCCACTAGATCAGGTGCCCAAAGTCCCATCCAACCTTGCCTTGAACTATTCCAGGAATAGGGAATTGCCAGCTCCTCTGGGAAATCTGTTCCTGTGCCTTACTACCCTCACAGTAAAGAATTTTTCCTAATATCTAAACTACGCCTGCCCTCTTTAACCTTGAACTCATTCCCCATTCTCTCCCACTGTGTGCCCTTGTTGAAAAATCCCTCTCCAGCTCTCTTTTAGCCCCTTTGGATACTGGAAGGCCACAATAAGGTCAACCCACAGCCTTCTCCAGGCTGAACAACCACAGCTCTCCCAATCTTTCCTCACAGGAGAGGTGCTCTAGCCCTCTGATCAGCTTCATGTCTCTCCTCTGAACTCATTCCAGCTGGTCCATGGCCTGAGACTTGTGCTGAGCTCCCCAGAGCTGGACACAACACCTCGGGTGGAGCAAATTTATGGGAAACAATGTTTCCTAAAATTCCTCTTATCCCCCCTCCTGCAGAAACAGTGGTATCTCAAAATATGAAAGTGTCAGACAAAAGTGAAAAGCTAAGAGAAGGAGGATAAACCCCTCTTCCTCTATTGCCTTCAGCAGATGAAAAGCAACAGAAGGAGCAAGATGAACAATGACACTCAGATGCTTTGAAAATGTGCAGTTATGCAAAAAACACTCCAGCAAGGTAAGAATGAAGCCTAAAATATTTTTGTCTTTTTCATAAAACTGGTTTTCTGGGTTTTTTTTCCTTCCTTTCTTTCTTCCTTCCTTTCTTTCTTTCTTTATTTATTTAGAGAGTATTTACTACTAGATTGCAGGGTAATAAAACAATTTCACTTAAAGCTGTGGATATCACATATGCACCCACTTCACAGTGCTGGAAAAGGTACAATGGCAGAAAAATCTAATTAACAACAAACTCCTTCAACAACCAGATCCTGTTGTGCTCCTATCCTGCTCTATCACTGCACATATCTCAGTTTGTATCTCAGTAATCATCTGGTTTTACTCCTTACTTCAAAACAAGAGGATTAAAGAACCAATAAAATCACACATGAGGTATACCTCCCCAGTTTCTGTCTGCTGTTTTTCTCTGGTAGTGTTGGACTTAAGGCAGCAGAACACTGGTTCCTTTATTTTGGAGGTTTGGTTTTGTGGTTGTAGAAGGTGGTTTTGGAGTTTTACTCACTTAGCAGTTGTTAGTGCTAGTAATGTAATTCTTCATCACAAAAATAAAGTTTCTTTCCCACTTTTCACTCTCCAACTTCTATTTCTCAAGCAAAACAGCTCCCAAAAATGCAACATAGGAACATGCTACTGGACCACAGAACCCAAAACTGTGAACAGCTTACATGCTAATAAATACATTCACTCCCAAACCCTTCGGGGGGGAATAAAAAAAAAAGGCCCTTATTTTGCCTTGCATGTATCTCACACAAACTCCCCTT